GTGAGAAGAAAATATATGTTAAGTATCTAATCACAATGCTCAATAAATGATATATTCCTTAACTCTTGAGCCATGATTGTGTCTGCTTCTTTCATGGGTGTAAGTGGTAGTGAAGAAGGAAATGGCAGCCCACTCCAGTCTTCGCCTGGGAAACCCCATGAACAGAGGAGCCTGGTAGGGCTGCACTTCATGGGGTCACGTGACTGAGCACACACGCAGGAGGAGGGTGGAGGAAGATGTGTTGGTAATAATGCATTGGCAGCACACAGGTAGAACTGAAAAAAAATTGGGAAAATGTTCTGAAAAGGTGCCTTGGTGAGAAAATTAGATCAATATCAGCCCTAGTCTTTGGAGATGTAGATCTTCACAGTGTGCCTTTTTATTTGGCTTAAAGCATTTCTGAAAGAACAGGTTGTTATGCCAAAATGGGATTACACAAAGACATTACAAAACAAAATATACTTTAGAATTTCCTAAGATGTCTGTGTTATTGGTCCTGTATATAACTTTCTGTTCTTTAGAAAGAGAGGAGTCACATAGCGAAGGGGGTCCTCAAAGGATCACCTTACAGGATCTACACTGAGAAGTCCCTACAATTTTAGTTACGACACAGTAGAAAATGTCTCTGCTAATGACTTGAGCATTTTATTTCTTGGATCTGTGATCACTTATTATTTTAACCTTTCAAACCCAGTAATTTTAAAGCATTCGACTCAGCTACAGTACTTTTATTGGCCTGGAAACGTTTTATTGCAGCTTGGCTGACATTTTCCCTTACTAATGTCATTAGCACTACTTAAAAATGAATTATGTAGGGGTGTACAGTACTACCTTTGTTTTGAGAAAATATTACGATTTTTATGAGCACATGAGGTGGGTCTCGTGGGAGTAAACATTAGCAACATATATCTTTCTGATTCTCCAGGCATGCTTACATTTCTAATAAGCACAAGTAGTTTAGCTTGGAAAAAGGCCTGGAGTTAGATTTATTTTTTCAAGATCATGTTATAATGATCAAGATTCTTACAACATCCCTTAAAGAAAAGTCCAGCTTCAGAGTCACTAAGGATTAATTAAAATCTCTAGCACACAGTGTGTTAATATCCCTTACCTATTTTGGAGTTTTAGCTCCTGGTAATTATATGCTAACACAGGTGTTCAATAGGTCATTGAAATCAAATAAATGCAGGCATCTTTAAAGTCAGATACTATGTTCATCTACAACATTTTCATATTTAAAAAGTACAAAATAAAGGAAAAGGGATGTTGTTTAACCTTGGAGAACCCTGAAGGGATGGACAAAAACAAGCATTTTCGCAGGAAAATAAACATTATCTGTGGAAAGAAATCCTAATTAAAGAAAATGGAAAAGCAAAGAAAGAACAAAATTCCTTAATATACAAATGCTTTGCTGAGTCTTTAATAGGTAAAGACTCAGGGTCCCAAACTGTGTTTCCTGGTTCTGTGAAAGTGCCTGTAGAACTTCCAGTTTCTGGGCGGGATTCTCAAAGCGACGTCCTGAGGGCAGGTCCATCTTCATCTGGGAACTTGTTAAAAATACAAAATCTTGGGCCTCCTCAGGGCTCAGAACTGGGGTTCTTGAGGGCAGGGCTGTGATCTGTGTTTTCACAAGCCCTTCAGACTCTCTTGGGCTTCCCTGGTGGCTCAGCTGGTAAAGAATCTGCCTGCAATGCGGGAGACCTGGATTTGATCTCAGGGTTGGGAAGATCCTCTAGAGGACGAGATGGCAACCCACTCCAATATTCTTGCCTGGAGAATCCCATAGACAGAGAAGCCCAGGTCCATAGCACTGCAAAGAGTAGAACACGACGGAAGCGACTTAGGACACACCATGCACTATATAAAAATGTTATAACATTTCTGGCTCAACTGAGGAAAATTTGATACTCATTCACTATATTTACAAGTGTATTCCTTTCAACATTTTTCTGTTTTATTTTCTGCTTTATTAGATTTTCAAAATATTAATAGCAAAAATCATAATGCTTGTTAAAGAAGTCAGGCACTACAGATAAATATATATGAATATAAAAGTGCCATATCTCTGTTTCAAATAGCCTTTTTTCTTAATTTAAGTACAATATATGTCCATTCTAAAACATTTAGAAAAGGTAGCCAAGCAAAAGAACTGAATGACACACAGTCTTCCATTCTGAAATAACCTCTAATCCATGTTAATATTTTGGTGTAGCTCTTTCAATTTTCCCAATACTTGTATNTACAATATATGTCCATTCTAAAACATTTAGAAAAGGTAGCCAAGCAAAAGAACTGAATGACACACAGTCTTCCATTCTGAAATAACCTCTAATCCCTGTTAATATTTTGGTGTAGCTCTTTCAATTTTCCCAATACTTGTATTTATTAAAAATGGTATCTACTTTTTTGCAGTGGATCTTTTTTGCTCACTACTGTCTTCTGGGCATTCCTCTGCATCATTAAAATGGAAAATCTTGCATTTCCTAAAGCATGAAATTATGTATTTCCTAAAGCATGATATGTAACATGTGCCATAGTTGATGCATAAGTATTTTTTTTAGTGTTACATAAACACAGTTTAAACATTTTTACTGGTTACACTTTTTGTTTGCGAGTAACTGAAAAATACAACTAGTACACTGAGCCTGTAATTTTGCAGATACTGTTGCTTTTAGTAAGGCTAAAGAAGGTAGCACTGTGATCACCGACTCTTATGAAGACTACGTGGATTACACTGAGATCCTTAGTTGTGCCCATGAACGTTTCAAGCAACTTCTTGGACTCGATGACAGTGAGGCGTTCATCATATCAGTCCCAGTGTTCCCTTTCAATGACAAAGTTTTAACTCGCCTTGTCCAATCCCAAAATGAAAATCAGAGATAGCCTATCTATGTAATTTAATAAAAATCAGTATAATGCTCTATCCTAGATAAAAAGGAGAAACAAGAGAAAATAATTTGTATAAAAGAATATATATTTTAGTGAATTAGGTGGCTGGTCTTGACTACTATGGTGGACCTAATGGGAGATTCAATGAGAATGTGAGGTTGGGAATACAGACACAAAGAGGCGAGTTTCAAGGTAACTCAAATACTGTGACTGGCATGGCCATTGGAGATGCTGATTTTCCAAAATTGTGAACAACTTTTGGTAAAGTTCTGAACAAGATAAAGAATGGTCTTCTCTGATGTACAAAGTAGCTGCATTTCTGGAAAAATCAGCATATATTATATGAAAGCTGGGCAAAAAATTTTGCATTTACATGCTAAATGGATTTAGGTCTGGCTTAGGTAATTATGGGGCTTCCTTGGTGGCTCAGCTGGTAAAGAATCCACCTGCAATGCGGGAGAATTGGGTTCGATCCCTGGGTTGGGAAGATCTCCCGAAGAAGGGAACGGCTGCCCACTCCAGCATTCTGGCTTGGAGAATTCCATGGACTGTACGGTCCACAGGGTCGCAAAGAGTCAGACACGACAGAGTGACTTTCACTTTCACTTTCTGGGTAATTATGGGCTTCCCTAGTGGCTCATAGTAAGGAATCTGCCTGCCAATGTAGGAAGCCTGGGTTTGATCCCTGGGTTGAGATGATCCCCTGAAGAAGGAAATGGCAACCCACTCCAGTATTCTTGCCTGGAGAATTCCATGGACAGAGAAGCCTGGTGGGATACAGTCCATGGGGTCGCCAAGAGTCAGATACAACTGAGTGACTAACACTCTCACTTTCTTTTTCAATCATTTCTCTAAGTTTTTATGAAGACATTTAGGGGGTTAGCAAAGAGGTATTTATGTTCCTTGGGAATAATTTCTTCTTCATTTCTCAAAGGACTGCTTAATGGAATTGCCCTCAATTGTGTTCGGTGACCAAAAGACAATTCCTCCCATCCCCGCGGAAGCCCTGTGATGGGGGTAAAGTTTGGTTGGAAGATCTGGTTTGTAGTTAATGTTACCCTTTTCACATAATTAGCTTTGTGATCTTGTGCAAGTCACAACCTCTATAAGCTATAATTTTCTCACCCATAAAAATGTACTAAAAATACACTACCTCACCGAGCTGTGAAGATGAAATGAAATGATGTATGTGAAGGTGGCTTGTAAATGCTAAAGCATGATATAAAACGTCAGTCATTGGTATTATAAGAGTGCAATATCTAGTCCCACCTTGAGAGATTTCAAAAGCACAATTCTCTAGCTTCACAGATACAAGTCGTTTTGTGCAATGAATGCAGGTAATTTTTGAATACCATATGGGGACAGTATCTAGAGAAAGTGAAGAGTATGAAAGAAAAGAAATAAATTCCAAGGAGAGTCTCTCTGTTTACAGCTTATTCCTTCCTGTGCCCTCCTCAGCAAACACTAGGGCCTGATTTGGCACTGCAGCAGCACTAATCCTGGGCTTTTGAGCTTTTCTCCTTATCATCAGATCTCATGGACAACATCAGGTTACCCAGAAGTCACATTACTGGTTAATCTAGGATTGGTCTGCTAGCTCAGGATTTCTGAGCTCAGGCTAGGACGAGAATTTACTATTTCTGGCAGCCTATACACTGTTGGAAAAACGAATGATTTTCACTGAGACTCTGTTCTCTTTCCATATTTCAAATTGTTTGAATGGTCTCTTTCTGTGAGTGGATTCAGGTGAGAATTACCCCCATGAGGTGCTTATCAGAAAATGGCGATGCTGACAAGATCCAGAGAGTATAGACTAGAGTGAAAAACGGCATGTTCAGAAGGGTAGGGGACAACGCTGAAAGCACCTGGCTTTGAGACGTATCTCTGACACTTAACCACCCTGGGTCTTGATTTCCCAGCTTCAAAGTCAGGCAGTTAGACCAAAACTGAATCCTGAGGTCTCCTACGTCTCTGCCCACATTTAAGATTCTATCATTCTGTGGGTCAGTTTAGAGATGAGGGGGTGTACCTTCCCAACCTCCTGCCATGGGCAGGAGAGGAAGTACTCCACTGGAGGGTCCCTGATGGGCCTTTGGGAGGCGTTAGGATTCCACTCTGTGACATCACAATGTCCAGCCCAGGCTCAACCCTGGCTACTGAGGAGAAATTATCTGCTCTATTAAAGGTGGGACGCTACCTGATGGAGCTAGAAGGAATCAGCCAGCCATGACTCTGGTTCAGGTACGTGACATTTGCTAAACTCAGAACAAATTTACTGTGTCTAAAAGAACAAGGGGCTTCCCTGATGGTTCAGACAATAAAGAATATTTCTGCAATGCAGTAGACCTGGGTTCAACCCCTGGGCCAGGAAGATCCCCTGGAGAAGGGAATGGCTATCCAGAGGACAGGACTACAAGATAGGCATGTCTCCAGGTTTAGGAGTAACAGGGTAAGCACAGAGATGATGCACCAGTTACTTTCAGGCAACGTAAAGGATCCAAATGAGCAGACCAAATGCCACGGGAGCTCCCAGCAGAAACACAGCTGTGGCATCTTCTCCAAACAGCCAGATTGACGACTGTGAAGACAGACCACAAGGACATTTCCAAGACGGTTGGTGCCTAGTCCTCTCCCCATCCATTGAGGGGTGCAAAAGAGGCAAGGGAACCTCAAGAAGTCAGTGTAAAACTGCTTTCTAAAACAGTCTTCAATTAGTGCCTGATGATGTCTATTCTTTTATCCAGGTATTCTTCTTTTAATAGCTTCTCCCCAGAATGATGTGAGTGAGTGCTAAGTTGCTTCAGTCATGTCCGACTCTGTGTGACCCTCTGGACTGTAGCTTTCCAGGCTCCTCCGTCTTTGGGATTCTCCAGGCAAGAATACTGAAGTCGGTTACCATGCCCTCCTCCAGGGGGATTTTCCCAATCCAGGGGTCGAACCCGAGTCTCTTATGTCTCCTGCATTGGCAGGCAGGTTTTTTTTTTTTACCATTAGTGCCACCTGGGAAGCCCCAAATGAGTAAGATACTCTTTGTGGCCCCATGGACTATAGCCCACCAGGCTCCTCTGTCCATGGAATTCTATGGGGGAAGAATAAACTAAATGAAAAACAAGTTAACTGAAAGAACTTTGTATAAAACTGAAGGAAGGTTGTATAAAAAATGCAAACAAAATAAAAGGGAGGGAAAAGATATTATGGATTAGCAATCAATATTGATTTTCAAGTCTGCTTTTGAAGTTTCAAGGCTTAAAAGGCAAAAGGTCACCCCTAGAAACAGTGAAAGAGAAGGGCCTTCTGGTTGAGAAGAAAGTAAAACAGTTCAGTTGAGACTGTCTACTGCTCCTCCCCCTAAAGAACTCCCACTAGTGAAATCATCGCTGGGGAGGCAGACAGTTCTGTTTTCTTTACCTTGCCTTGGGGTTTTGGCTTCTAACTTATTTGTTTCTTCCTGGAGTCTCGAGGCCCTGGGAGCCTCTGAGTGACGGCAAATAGCTGCTCTGTTTACCAGGAGGGCGGAGGGTGGGGTGGGCGCCAGGCTCTGACTCATCCACATTGGCTGCCCTCGGCACACCACGACCCCAGAGCCAAGTGCAGGACTGTTCAGGCAGGCACGCTGAGATCCGCCTGCGAGATCCAAGTTTATTGCCGTGTTCCTTTCCCAAGTGGAAGCAGCAGTCCAATGTTCTGACAGGTAGATTAGTTGCCCGCCAGGGACCCCAAGAGGAACAGACAAGGCGGGGAGACCCAGTCTCTATCCACAGCACACAATTTTAACACTCTGGCCTCCAACACCCTGGGAATAAATATGTCTCAGCTGCAAAGCCAATAGTCACTCGCTCTATAAAAGTAGTAATAATCTGAAGCATGTAAATAAATCCAGAGGCTCAGATTAAAAACAAAATGTGTTTGCACACTGACTCTAGCACATATTCAACTTCCATCTAGAGAAGCCACTATAATTTTCACAATTAGATTATGACCCAACCTCAAGTCCTTGGAAAGTTAAAAGCTCACTGGTCCAGTGTTTAGACTTTATTCATTTTATAGTCATTGAAAACTACGTTTGTGCCATGCTAAGTTGCTTTAGTCGTGTCCCACTCTTTGTGACCCTATGAACCATAGCCCACCAGGCTTTTGTCCATGGGATTCTCTAGGCTAGAATACTAGCCCTCCTAGTATTCCATGCCCTCCTCCAGGGCATCTTCCCAACCCAGGTTTCGAACCTGCAAGTCTTACATCTCTTGAATTGGCAGTCCTTTACCACTGGTGCCATCTGGAAAGCCCTGAAAACCATGTTTAAGTTTAACCTAAAATAACATCCACAAAACACAGAATATTCTAACTTGTCTACATTTACATTTATTGACTATAATATTCTCTGACCCTTGTGTCAGTCACACAGCACAGACTTTTAGAGTTGGGGGGCGGGTAACTAAAAGATCATCCATTCCAATGTCCTGATTTCCAGAAAAGGAAATTCCATGCCCTCCTCCAGGGCATCTTCCCAACCCAGGTTTCGAACCTGCAAGTCTTACATCTCTTGAATTGGCAGTCCTTTACCACTGGTGCCATCTGGAAAGCCCTGAAAACCATGTTTAAGTTTAACCTAAAATAACATCCACAAAACACAGAATATTCTAACTTGTCTACATTTACATTTATTGACTATAATATTCTCTGACCCTTGTGTCAGTCGCACAGCACAGACTTTTAGAGTTGGGGGGCGGGTAACTAAAAGACCATCCATTCCAATGTCCTGATTTCCAGAAAAGGAAACCAGCACGGAGAGGTTAAGTATCTTGACTTAGGCCATTGAGCTAGTTAGTGCTATCTTGAGCCTAAGGCTTAAATCCTCTCACTCTCAGCCTGGCGGCCTCTTCAGTACTCCCTGCCCCAATTCATCCTGAAGGAATTTACTGGCTCATACTTGAACTATTTTAATTTCTAAGTCAGGATATTCTAAGATAAGGGAATCTCCTTTTATCACCTTAGTGTGGTTATTGGTAAACTCAGGTACTCTAAGTAGGTGACACTATTCACCAAAGCTCTCCCAACCTTCAGCTCCAAACAAAACAAGTTTTGACCAAGCTCAAGAGAAAGCACCTAAGACCTCATTCAAAAGGCTGAGAATACAATGAAAATGAATCCAGGGAAATGGATTGCCTACTCTGCACTTCTGACCTGATTCAGTTCAGTTTAGTTCATTTCAGTCACTCACTCGTGTCTAATACTTTGCAACCCCATGGACTGCAGCACACCAGGCTTCTCAGTCCATCACCAACTCCTGGAGCCTGCTCAAACTCATGTCCATCAAGATGGTGATGCCATCCAACCATCTCATCCTCTGTTGTCTCCTTCTCCTCCTGTCTTCAATCTTTCCCAGCATCAGACTTGATTAGAAGTAGTCTATTAAAAAAAAAAAAAAGACATTTATACAGTTAATGAGCTTTTTGCTTTATAATAAATACACAAAGTTTCTGTGGCCTTTTCCAGTTTAGGTAGATCACTTTTCTTATGTGCAGTAGTAATAGTTGCTCAGTCATGTCTGCCAGGCTCCTCTGTTCATGGAATCCTCCTGGCAAGAATACCAGAGTGGGTTGCCATTTGCTATTCCCTTCTCTAGCAGATCTTCCTGACCCAGGGATTGAACCTGTGTCTCCTGTGTTGCAGGCAGATTCTTCACTGTCTGAGGCACCAGGGAAGCCTCTGCTCATGTGTATGCATGTGTATCCTCTGTGGTATGTGTGTGTACTCTGTAAATGCACGTGTGAGTAAACGTAATCTGGCAAGCATGGAGGTTTACACCATCCGTGGTAACAGACCTATCTTTATTACCTAGTTTGTCTCCTATATGAGCCTTTCCTGACTTAAACCATGAATTGACATTTTGTTTAGAGTTATTGATAATTTAGGAGCAATCTAAGGCATGTCCAGAGTTCGTTTTATGTAGAATTATGTTTTGCTGCTCTAATTAATCTGTAAGTTTGAGTCCAGGCACTCCCTGATACAGATACTCAGAGTTTCCTCCAACTGAATTCATTGCAAGTTTATTAACATCAGCCTAAAGTCCCAAAATCTGAAAGAAAATGAAATGAAGAGTTGTTGGATATACGCACAGACCTCATTTGTATAGCCACCAGCTCCAAAGACCCGATTAATATTTTCTAGGTCACTAGCTTGTTTTTTAACTCACTGAAATGCATTTATCCTATAAGGATCTTCCATAGGTTTCTGGTTTTCCAGACTGACTGTCTTTAGTAAAAGAGAATTATGAAATGATTACCAACAGGAAAGACGACTCCATCACGGCATAGGGTTTAAACAAAGCTTTGGTAGTATCTTTCAGCCTCCATATTCATTTCAAAAGTTGTGCAATAGATTGAGTAATTTTATACATCTTATCGCATCAAACAGCAGGAGAAAGCTTGACTATGAAAAATGGAGGGATAAGAGGAGCTTTCATTTCAGATTCTCCATTGTGGGTTCTGAACTTTCAAATGTCTCCAGTAAGCTGAAACACAGGTATGCTGACTGTACTTTTGAAAAGCTTTCCACCTGAGAAATGCATACTGACAAGTGTTATTAACAGCCGTGGGAGAAAAAAGAGAAAGGAAATCTACCTCACCAGAGATCCTGAGACATTTGACTCTCTCCCTCTCTCTCTCTCCCCCTCCTCCTCTCCTCCTTCTCTCAACGCCGCCACCTGGGGAGCCTTGGCAAATGGCCACACCTGGATGGCTGACACATGCCAGACACTCCCCTTCAACTTAGCCCAGCCCCCATACCCACTCTCCCAAGAATTGTGCAACGAGCCCTTTGTAACCCAAGGTCTGTGAAGTCTGGAAAGGAATGTGACCCGGAGCCAACAGACGCTGGGGCCACCAGGGCCAAGAAGGAACTCTCCTGCTGTTTACCTCGCCCTTGGGGGAATCGCAGAAAGTGCAAGATGTGCTCTACAAGGAAGGAGAACGGAGCTCTTGGCAGGAGTGAGAAGCAGACACCCCAGGGCCTGCTGCCCTCGTCTCTGCCAGCCTCCAGAGGCGTGCTTTGGGCTGCTCTTAGGAGAAGACTCTGAATCAGTTTTGAGTCATTCCACTTCGTCCGGTTGTGCCTCTACTGAATGTTGTGAGTGGTAGGGCCCATTCCTCCAGTTTCCCAGTATAGGATGAAGGGTGATTGTTTAGTAATGGGTGTGTGTGTGTGTGTGTGTGTGTGTGTGTGTGTGTGTGTGTTAGTCACTCAGTTGTACTCAGCTCTTTGCGAACCCATGGACTGTAGCCCACCAGGTTCCTCTGTCCATGGGATTTCCCAGGCAAGAATACTGGAATGTGTAGCCATTTCCTCCTCCAGGGGATCTTCCTAGTGCATGGATCAAACCCACATCTCCTATGTCTCCTGCATTGCAGGAGGATTCTTTACCCCCTGAGCCACTGGGGAAGCCCCACAATGTAGTATAGTTAACTATTATATTATTTTACCAATACTGCTTATAAACAAAAGGGGGTCCAAGAAAAACAGACTTGTTAGCCAGTTGAGAAGACCACTCATTTGACAACTAGAATGCCAGTATTCTTCTGCTCCTTTCAAGCATGTTTAGAATGCAAAGCCATTTCTATCAGCAGACGTGAAAGCTTTCCTTTCATGTTAGAATCAGTTCTTTGTATGCTAGGAACTGACACTATCTTACCCCTCTCACCAGCATATAACTTCTTGTATCCTGTCTTTCCAAGGTGGTTATTATCCTTTCTTCTTTCTATCCCAAATGAATTCAGTGTCAGTTTCAATCAAATCTGTAGTTTTTGACAACGGATGATGTACCAGTATACCAGGCACAGTGGCAATAACAAAATACAATGTTTGCCATAAATTGGGTTCTTTTAACAATTAAGGATTTAGGTGAGGAGATGAGATATACACCTGTGAAGAGTTCAAAAGCAAAGAAAGAACTGCATAACCATGTGAGAAATGCTCTTGTGGACTTCAGAGTGCCCAGGGCAGAGGCAAAGTTGTCTCCAGGGTTTAGGCTGCTCATCACAGCACAGTTAGGACTTGAGAGAACTTCTGAAGAGAAACAGAACCGTGACTGATGCAAGCTCTGGGAGGAATACAATTTTCTGGCACAAATTTTGGCCCCAGCCCAATGGGTCTTGTCCTGCTCAGCCCTCATCTCCACCCTCTCCCTGTGCTTTCACAATGCCTTCTTTGCATGTGATACGAACAGTCCACAAGGTTGCTCTGGGACAAGGATACTGGAGTCCCGGAAACACGATGTTCCAGAAAGGATGCTGTCTGTGAAAGGGCCCACCTGCCGTAACCTGAGTTGTGTTGCACTTTAATTATGGACCTAGGCTTCCTGATTTTATGCCCCAAGTCAACATGTTCTAACTCTGATTCATTATCTTCCTCCAAATCTGATCTCCTTTTGTGACTCCCATCTCGGCCCATGACCTCAGCACATTTCCAGCTATTCTGGCTAGAACTGTGGGCCACCAGGCCCAGGAGGTTATGGCTCCATATCTCTTTGGAATCCATCACTTTCTGCCGGTTCTGCTGGTAGCTGCCCTGGACCAGGCTGTTTCCCATCGTGTTTCCCGGGGTAAGTCATCTCCCCAGCTTCATTCCTCTGCACTCTGCTGGTCACACCTTTCTAAAACAAACACTAGAGTTTGTCACTTGCCAGTTTTAAAACAGTTCAGGTTTCCCACTGTTTAGAAAAATGAGAACTGAACTCATCTTGGACTTCCCAGGTGGTGCAAGTGGTTAAGAACCCGTTGACCAATGCAGGAGACATAAAGGACGCGTGTTCAATCCCTGGTTTGGGAAGATCCCCTAGAGGAAGGCATGGCAACCCACTCCAGTATTCTTGCCTGGAGAATCCCACGGACAGAGGAGCCTGGTGGGCTATGGTCCATGGGGTCACAGAGTTGGACATGGCTACAGTGACTTAGCACGCATACACAAACTCATCTTGGCTTTCAAGAGGTCCTTCACTTTCTCCAGCCTCCCCGAGCCGCGCCTCTTCCGGGCCACCTGTTCACCTGGTCCTCCCCACCCACTGCACCGGATGGATCCCTTTGCTTCCCTTTCTCCAGCCTGCCCAGAACTTTCCTACCCCTCTGTTCTTTCTTATGCAGGTCTATGCTGATAGCTAAACTCCTGCACAAATTCTCCTCAAAGGGGTGACCACTTTCTTCCCCCATTACTTATGATCTCCTCATGACATTCTTATTATGTATGACCCTTATGCTGAAGGAGTAAGCTGGGTGTGGTTGGAACACCAGGGAGAAGGGAGCAGAAGAATGCTTTAAGACAGGGATTAACATGTCAGAGAGGATTCCCAGGTGGTGCTAGTGGTAAAGAATCTTGTCTCCCAATGCAGGAGATATGCGTTCATTCCCTGGGTTGAGAAGATCCCTTGGAGGAGGGCATAGCAACCCACTCCAGTATTTTTGCTGGAGAATCCCATGGATTCTCCTCTGAAGAATCCCAGAGGAGCCTGGTGGGCTACAGTCCATGCGGTCACAGAGTTGGACATGACTGGGCAACTGAGCACATAGCATGTCAAAAACACAGGAGTTGGTGGAAGTTGAGTCTGAGTCGAGGGGAAGGAGCCGAGAGGAGATGGCTCTGGAGAAAGATGCAGAGGCTAGTCCTGCTAAGGAGCTGGGACTTCAGCTTGACATCAGCAGGCCACTCTAAAGGGTTATAAGCAGGGCAGGGATAGGATACTACCTGCATTTTAAAAGAATGTAGTGTCCAGAGAAAAGATGGGAATGAAGAAAGCCTGGAGAAAGGAGTCCCAATTAGAATGCTGGCAGGGTAAACCAAGGAGGTGATGAACTGGGTCTAGATTAGTGACAGTGGGAAGAGAGGAAGACTGGGCTTCCGGGAGCTTTAGAAAGGAGAACTAATGAGGTCTGGTTGATTGACCAGGCCTGGATTACTTGGAGGAGAAGTGAAGGAAGACAGCCAGAGAAGGCCCAGCAGACACTGTCCTAGGTGCAGTACCACTTCCTAATAATGCCTCACACCAGGGAAATTTCATATTATCCTGAAAGAAACAGGAGGCAACAAGGATTTCTTGGCCTGGGTAACCCTACCTTTTTTTTTTTTTAACTTATTTTTAATTGGAGGATAATTTCTTTACAATACTGTGGTGGACTCTGACATGCATTAACATGAATCAGCTCTAGGGATACAAATGTCCCCTCCCTCTAGAACCTCCCTCCCACCTCCCACCCCATCCCACCTATGTTCTTGAAAGAGAAAACTGGAAGTGGTGTGGAGCATGGCCAGAAAGGAGAAGACTGGTCACAGACAGACCAGACAGCAGAGTTACTGAGGTGGGGTGTTAAATGCTGACAGCGCACAGCTGCTCAAGGCAGGGGGCCCTTTTTGGTGCTGGAAATTCTTCCTCAAACATAGTTTAATGAAAAAAAAATAGTGTTTTAATTGAAGTTATATGTGCATGTTGTAAAAAAAAAAAAAAAAGAAAGAAAATTAAACAGTGCTACGCTATGAAAAACAATTCTCCCTCCCACCCCAGGCCCCAGTCCTTTTACTCCATGGAGATTTTGCAAGTTTTACATACTCTCCAGAAAGGTTTTGTACATATACAAATGTGTCTGAGTATGTATTATGCGCATGCTCTCTGTGTACATATGTGTATATACAGATGCACAGATCTACTTTTTAAAATGAGATTATTATACAGAAGCCTTGTGTGTGTTAATTGCTCAGTCATATCCGACTCTTTGAGACCCTGTGGACTGTAGCCCACCAGGCTCCCCTGTGCATGGATTTCTCCAGGCAAGATTATTGGAGTGGGTTGCCATTCTCTTCTCCAGGGGATCTTTCTGATCCAGGGACCGAACCCGGTACTGCAGGTCTCCGGTTCTGCAGACAGATTCTTTAGCATCCGAGCCACCAGAGAAGCCAAAACATAGGTCTTCCTTTTTTTAAAAAAATGGGAAACTGTATTTCGTTATACCATTTTTATGTCAGCTTCATTCTCTTCAGTGTCTACTACGGCTATGCTCCTATGGTGATCTCACAAACCCCCTGCTGATTAACATCAAAGTCAAACTTGGTTTTGAAGTGTCCTTTTCCTTGTACCCCATCCTCAGCTCCTCGTGTGCTGGCTGCTTTAAACTCTTCCTGGCTCCACCCTGGGGCACTCTCTCCTTTCACGCAGCTCTTTTCCAATCTGAAGTAAGAGAACTCCTTCTGCAGCCACACGAATTTAGCACAAAGCTAAATTTTCTTCCATCATGGAGTCAACTGGCCAACCTGGCTTATCAGATCATATTTCTTGGGCAAAAAGATCAGTCTTTTCTCTAATCTATGAAATGTGCTTTGAATTGTACTTATACAGGTGCAGCAAGGAAGGTTATCAACTCTAAAACATCAGAGCCCCACTGCCAATCAGAGTTAAGCTCAGAGTAATGGAGATTTTCTTCTCAGAGATGATGCTTTGAATAAGGCTGGCCAAAGACTCTCCAGACACTTAGCTTTTAGAGGACACTGTAGTTGATACAGGCTCTGATCTCTTTCATTCGTTTGCTAGAGTCCCCAGGACTCATAGGTATTCAATGAATCTTGGTGAATACACATCTATGCCTACAAGTATTATTCCTGATGGTCTTCCTGTTATTTTGATTTTCAAAGACTTGGTGGGCATTTTATCCTCTTTTGCCCTTCACAGTGTAAACAGTAATCAGACCCTTTTTCCTCCCCAAATTGGATCTCAGTGTGTAAGTGCTAAGTCACTTCAATCATGTTCGACTCTCTGCGACCCCATGGACTGTAGCCCACCAGGCTCCTGTGTCATGGGATCTCCAGGCAAGAAAGCTGGAGTGGGTGACTATACCCTCCTCCAAGGGATCTTCTCAACCCAGGGATCGAATCCTTGTCTCCTGCATTGGCAGGCGGATTCTTTACCACTAGTGCCATGTGGGAAGCCCTTCATCCTGTTCTACCCATCCCCAAAATCTGCCCATAAAGCCAGGATAAAATGCACATGAATAAAAAATTCTACAGGTGTGCCACCTGCTGATTCACCCATGGGACAGGCCTGGGCTTTCCCTTTGTTGGGTCTGCTCCTCGGCCTACGAGTTGCTGCTCCTTACTTTCTACCTCCACCAGCAGTGTCAGGAAACACTGTACTGGGAGCCCCTAAACCAACCTTGTATAAAGGGGACTCCTCTGCCCCCTCTCTGGGCTGCTTCCTGTGAGTCCCCTTCTTAGAGACAACACAGGCAGTCCTAACAGTGCGGCTGAGTTGGGTAGGTCACAGCAAGCCTCGGTTCCTAGAGAGGAGGAATCAGAGGTTCCTCTTATGTCTTACCCAAGTTTACAGTCACGGGCTGAGTCATCTGTCCCCCAGGCCAGTGTTCCCCAGAGATATCAGTTCTGAGGGGGTGGGGGCAGGGCTGCGGGGGCAGGTGAAGAACAGTTTATCTCCAAGGCAGCAGCTGAAGGGCAGAAAGACATGCAGGCTACGCCAGGTGACAAGGGAGGTCAGCACCCCTCTTGCGTGTCTGCCTTCACGTACACTGATGTATGATAACTGGACTGTAGAGAAGGCTGAGCGCCAAAGAATTCATGCTTTCAAACTGTGGTGTTGGAGAGGACTCCTGAGAGTCCCTTGGACAGAAAGGACATCAAACCAGTCAATCCTAAAGGATATCAACCCTGAATATTCATTGGAAGGACTGATGCTGAAGCTCCAATACTTTGGCTACCTGATTCGAAGAGCAGACTCATTGGAAAAGACCCTGATGCTGGGAAAGATTGAGGGCAGGAAGAGAAGCGCGAGACAGAAGATGAGATGGTTGGATGGCACCTTCGACTCGACGGACATGAATTTGAGCAAGCTCTGGGATTTTGTGATGGACGGGGAAGCCTGGTGTGCTGCAGTTCATGGGGTCGCAAAGAGTCAGACAAGACTGAGTGACTGAAGAACAACAAACAACAACAGCACAAACAAAGTAAGTGTTGCTAGAGATGCTGGAATGGGGTGGACCTTTCTTATGAACAGAAACAGAGTCCCTTTAGCCTTCATGTTTCACTGGAAAGGGCTGAGATTCCCATCTGTCTGGAATTGAAGTGAATGACTCACTATGGACCCCATTCCCAACGGAAGTGGCTTTGGCTTATATCATGTATTCACAGAAACTCAGCTTCACTGTTAGTTGCAGGGATCCACACAGAGATTCTCCACATTAGGCCAACAGGCACGCATTTGGGCTGCATGGGATGACATTTCTAGATTAGATCCCTTTGTTTTGTTGTTGGTTTGTTGTTTCCAGAGCCCGCAAACCTGATGACAAGAGCTGGGGGCAGCTGTGCTTATGTCAGGCAAGGCGCTAGGGACATTGTCAGATATTTACACAGAGAAACAGTCCTTGGTGGGAACAACTTGAAAAAAAAAATTAAAATAACATTGCTTATTGTTTTCAAGATCATTCTACTTTAAAATTTTTTAAACATAAAAGGGGGGCTTCCTTGGTGACTCAGACAGTAAAGAATCTGCCTGCAATGCAGGAGATGCAGGTTTGATCCCTGGGTGGGGAAGATCTGCTGGAGAAGGGAATG